TAAAAGTCTTATGATTTTTAAGCCAATCTCATTATTATTGGGGATTGACTCATGATTTCAAATACTCTGGTTGGCAATACTGTGTGGTTTTGCCAATCCCCTATGAATCCAAAAAAATGAGACATAAGACACAGCCAACCAAAGGACATTCTCTGTTATGCAGGTGCTTTGCTGGCAATCCATAACTATCCAGGGCCTATGCCTTAAGCCAATGGTTTGATTAAGCTATCGAGCACCATACCACTGTAATGGATAAACACGAGTATGGTGCGCCAAAAAGCCTAAGTATATGGATCACCTCTCTTTGCTGCGGGAATGTCAACGTGAACATCCAAGCTAGGTCTGTGTGTCTGTTTTAGGAAAATATCAGCAATAATCCAGATTTCATCAGTTGGAAAAAATTTGAAAGATAAAAATGTTTCTGCAGCTGTACAAAGTGATTATTTTGGCTGGTTTGAATTAGGCAAAGTGGAGACAGGAATCATCATCATGGAGTTCCCTCATATATCTCTATAGGCAGATCCTGTATGAGTGGCCAAAACATGAGTTGACAGCCCAGTTGACTTAGACTTGAATGTGTAGTTCATTAGAGTCTGAAAAGTAGTTCTCTACAGAAAAGTACTGCATAATATTGAATAGGAAGAAGGTTCTCACATTTTAATAAAATCCCCATCACCTCAATTGCTCAGCCACTTAACTTCTCCCTACAAATATGACTAATTTAGCATTTCTAAATCCCTTTGCAACCATCACAATAATATTTCCTTTTTGATTTTCTTTTAATGAGGATTCAATATGAATATAGAAAGTCTGGAATGAGCTCATTTAGAGATAGGCACAATTAGAAAAATATTAGCACTTTTTAAAAGTGCAACAGAAATTACTTGATAGTTTTCAAAGCTTTTTCTAAATCTCTTTAAAATATTCCACTTCAATCATCTCACAAACCTTTAAATATTCTCTGTAAAGCTTTGTTATTTTGTGATCCGAAATTTAAACATTTCTCTACAATTTCTGAGTTCTCAGGCTTCTCTGTAGTGTGAATCACATCTTAGAAGAAAGGTTGCCTCATGAATCACTTCTCCTCTCAGTCCAAATTGTTTGGACTATCTCCCTTTTCATTTGCGATTACACAACATCCCTGCGTCAATTACCGCAATTGCTGACATGGAATTGTAGCATTTGGAAAGTATTGAATGCATTTTTAGCTGTCTTTTAACACAGTTTAAATGAGAAGCCAGCATCACGTGACCAGGCAGCTCTCCCTGGATCACTGACAACGGCTCCAAAGACCACAGTTTGTAGACTTGTATGCTATAACTTAATACATTTCATCATTGGATTGGCCCAAAAAATTAAATTGATTGTTGCTCTATAATTGCAATAAGCAGACATAGAGACTGAATTCTGATGACTGGACAACAAGAAATTCCAAAGGGAAAATGAAAACGAGCCGTTATGAGTTAGTTCGTGCTCCCTATATTCAGGCTCAAACCACTTGGAGTTTGTTAGATCAGACATTTGTTAGGCATATACATTATGCACTACATGTCAAGTATACCACTCAGTATCAAGTGTGATAACTTATTAAATTAACTTGCTGTACATGTCACCTAAGAGACAGCAGCAGCTGTAGTTATAAACAGCTGAGAGTTTTCCTACCTGCATGATGGTTTTACTCTCTGTCATGTTAAAAGGTGCATTTAGGCTCATGGCAAATAGAGAGCCTAACTAATGAATGACAGTTTAAGGCCTGTTCAACTGATCTGGAAACGATGGAAAACAATTTGCCCTAAATAAGTTTTCCTCTGATACAATATGTGCTGCAAAATACATATGCAAAGTGTTCACTATTTTAGGTCACCATACATGTTGTCATAGAAGAAAAGAAATAATGCCGTAAGAATTACAGCTCTGAAGATAACCTCATCTGAAGATTGAGAGAAACTAATCTTAACAAAATACAGAATTAGTTTATAAAATATAGTCATTTATTAACAACATGTTGCCACACATCTTTAACTCGTGGAATGCTGAGAGAAAGAAGATATTAGCTAACCTTTGTTGTACATATTGGTTGGTACTTGGACATCACTCAGGCTGATGTTCACAGGCAAATTATTGAAGTGGTCATTTGGCACTAGAATGAACTCCTTCCCCAGTTCCAAAAAGTTTCCTTCTTCATCTCGTTCATTTATGAGAACAGCATTGAAGTATTCATACTGCAACAGAAATTCACATTCAGTTATTACACCCTCTGAACAATTTTCTTACATTTTAATCCATGCATCCACCTATGTAATATTTATTAGCATATGTTTTTTGTCTAAAGCAGAAGAACATGATATAAAAAGCTACACATTTTTAGGAGCTAAAAGACTCATTTTAAGAAACTAGTACGTGTGCACTTCTTTCTGAAAACAATTTGATATCTGTGACTGCACATCCCTCTTAAAGCTAAATGGTAATGGCAGTCCAACCCCACTGTACACAATAGAAGTACTATTTTAACACAAAGTTTTCTCAATCCAAACCATTTGTTGCACAATTATGTACTGGCAAAAGTCTCTCTTCTTAGCTTAATATTTTCCATTAATTCGAGAACTGCTATTAGTGATGAACTTATGGCTTGATGAGCTGAAAGCATTCTGACTTCACAAAGTATGTTAAAATAAATTTGCTAAAACTGATGATAGCAGAATTTTATAGCATTTTTCTCCTAGGTTTTTATATTACTTCAACCATAATTTGGATTCACTGGCATCTCTTAAAGAAAAGGAGTTATCTATTTCATGCTGAACATTACAAATAAATATTACAAAAGGTTTCATACAATCCAGCTTCAACTTTGACAGTAATTTAAATCTAGATTTGACTTTTTTCTGGAGAAAGAAATCATCATCTGTATGTGTAAAGACTCCTAAATGGTATTTGGCTTCTTCTGGAAAGAGCATAGCAAGATAAGCAAAAGCAATTTAGATAAAAGTATTGATTGGGGGGGTGCATGAGAGTGTGGGTGTGTACATGAGAGAGAAAAAAAGAAAGAGAGAGAGACCTAGCTCAAAAACAGGGATTCTAGCAAACTCTGGAGGCAACGAGCAGCAGTACATAACCCCTTTTTAATCTTTCAACCTTTGAAAACAAATATTTTTTTTCAAATGTTTACTAACTGTAAAAGATCCAAGCCCATGACGAAGCCCATGAAGTTGAATACCAGTCATTCTTATAACTAAGTACATGATCATAAATAATAATAGGACAGGTAGAGACTAGACACATAATCCTGTGGAAATTAACTTTATAGGATTTCTTCTTTATATTTATTAGGGCAAAATATAGCTACTGAGCATAGAAATAGATAAATGATACACAATGGGTACCTGAAAGCTTTAAATGCTTTGAAAGATGTCATTTTTCAATTTTACGTGCAACTAGTTTTATTGAGCTAATGCAAACAACTAATACCTTGTAGTTCATGTATTTCCACTGAAACATTCATCAGCTTACAATCAACGTGACTGAGGCAGAATCCTATACAGCACAGTCACTCTCTCAGCTGTTATTGTCCTGGCTATGCAGGAAGAAAGACAGAGTGCAAGAAATGCGGTTTAATTAGGCCACAACTTTATCTCATCTGGGAACTACCCAGCATTAAATCATATAGTGCAGGTCATCAGTCTTTCCTTAATCCTTTCCACCTATCTGAGAGGGCTGCCATTGGCTCTCCCCACTCACAACCTGTTGCTGGGTCCCCAGCACCCACCCCTTGTATGAGGATTAAGGGAGCTGAGGAAAGGGGTTTTTCTCCCCACTGTACCAGACATTAGGAGCCTCAATCCATCTTTCCTCAGCTTCTTTAGGGGATGCCTCCCCTTAAGTCCACCTCAGTCTCCAGTTAATTAGGGAAGCAGACCCCTGTTGAACAATTACCTGCCAAGTTCCAACATCATGAATTTTACAACCTATCTTACCCACTGTCTACCTGGGCTACTGAGAGGAAAGCGGAAACACACACCCCGCACAGGCCAATCCAGTGGTGAGGAAAAATTCCTTCCCAGCCTGGAAAAGGTGACTAGCATGATGCCAAACAGCAAGGCCAAAAACCTGGTCCCTTACTCTAATCTTGAGGGGGGAGCTATTCCGCAGGGTGCAGAACGCCAACCTGGACAAGGGGGAGGGCTTATAAAACCTCCTTAGGGAGTGGAAGTCCACAAGTTTATGTTGTGCCAATATGCCAAAGAGCCCGCACCTCAGGCCCACAAGGAGGCAAAGAAGGGATTAAACAAGGGAGGAGCACTCCTTAAAGTCACTGAAAGTTCTCTTTCCTTTGCTGGCCCACACACAGCACCTTTCCACCACTGAGGCTGCAGGAGACCAGGGGGCACATTAGTACTTTTTACATTACAGTACTAAATATTAATGCATCTAATCATATGATGGCAAGTTGTGCGTGCCTTGGATTTCACGGTCATTGACAATGGAACTTTTCTGCTTTTTTAAACAGATTTTCTTAAACATGTAAATCAAAATTCAACCACAATATATTTAAATATTACAACTTTTACGAGAAAGGTGCAATGCCTTCCTTCCCTGAATTTCTGCTCTTGCTAATTATGGTGCAATTCCATTGACTTCATTGATAAAACTAACAGCAGAATTTGGTTTATCCTGTTTACATACTAAGTTCTTGAAACAGAAACATATAAATGGTATGGAAACGGTCAAGTACACACAGTATGTGAAGAAATTGGTCAGATTGCAATTTGGCCAAGAAAAGCATGCGAGTCACGAACAAAAGCACACTGCTGGCATACTTTGCTTTCCTTCATCAATTTGGTTATTCTTTCCCAAATGCATTAATCAGCAGACATCCTCCTTTACTATGTTCTGTTGAAAGGAAAAGTAATTTACAATTGTAAATGTTAAATTGCCAGGCTAGTTGGGTATTAAAATTTGTTAGACTCGAAATAAAATACACTACTACTTTTGCAATTAAATGGTTTTTGTTTGTTTTATTAATTGACTTTTTAGGCCTGAGTCTATGGTTCATGTTTTACAATTGCGGAGATGTTTTTGGAATAATCCGATTATGTAAACTATACAAGTAAAACCAAATTGAAACGTATGTTCATCCATCAATTATTCTAAAGGCATTAAAGTCCGTAACTAATACCAAAAAACATTAGATTTTATTAAAGTCTCCCCTAAACTTTTTTGTGTCATGTTGAATGAACAAAAATAATTTGTTTGTTTCTTAAAAATCATGCCACAGAGAACAAATATCAGGTAACCTGAAATGGTTAGCATTGAGGTTAGGAAGAGATTAGCATCTAGGCAGTAAGGTATAGTGGTTTCTTCTGTGCACATTTGCTACTGCTTCCCAGGAAAATATTGCATGTGACAGCTGAAAGGTGGTAGGAGGAAAATTAAAAATAAAAATTGGATTAAAAATAGTAAGGTAAATCCATCTGGCACTCTGACACTACATTTGAGATAATGCCCTAGGGAAAGGGAATAAACTCTTATTTGCTGACAACACAGATACTCTAGCTGCTAAGCTCTAAGAGAAAATGACTTCAGTTTAATCTTGTCAACCTCTGATGTAACCTTAACAAGGTGAGCTCCCACAGTGCACAATATGACACGCCAAAAACATATTAGCCTGGTAAACAGGAAAATGATTATTTGGGTTAGGAGTACTGTGAGACTGATTGTGATATGACCAAACAGTGAGATTATTCTAACCTTGTGCGTAAAGAGACATGCACAGTGAGTGACAGACCAAAGCAAAATCATTACAAGGAAATCCATTCACATCATTTATTGCAGAGATATTACTTAAGACCTGTACAAGAATATTAATATTCTTGTGCATTTGTGTCTGCTCTTGTGTAAACAAATTATATTTTACACGTTCACTATTATACATCGCCACCACCTTTGCAATAGGCAGGTTTCTGAAAACTCTAACAATCATTTTTTATGCCCACTCACTCTATAATGAGCAAACACTTAGCACCGGAAAATCCACAGCAACTTGAGAGAACTAGAAATTTAAAGAGAAATCTCTGCTTTCATTTTTTTTTTAAATATTTTCCTTGTTAAGAAAACCTTCCAAGCCATGAGCCAATGCAAACTGATTAGTAGAACAATCAGAGGAACAAGCAGCTGAACTACGTTACTTCAGCAAGAGTAGAGAAGGGCCAAAAGATCCTTCATGAGCCATGCACATTTATTATAAAATGAGTCCACTGAGTTTGGAGTGCATTTCAAAGAATAATATCACTAACAGTCCCAAAATCTTTAGGTTGGGTCTGTACACAGTGGGTGCAACAGTGGTAAAAAGGAACCTGTTATGTTTGGGGGGGTGGGGTGGCAAGCCACTAAAAACTGATTGCAGGTTAATTCAATATGCAGACACTGATTCTGACAGGAAAGTTTCAACTGTAATTTGCTTTGTTTTAAAGCCTGTTTAAAGACAAATGTTTGTGACAAATTTCTACCACAGTAGCTGATGTGTGTTGAATGATCTCTCTGGACAGCTGCCGTGACCAACCATAAACTGCCAGGAGACTGGATTCTTGCAAAGGGTATAGTAGAAAAACATCCTGGGAAAAATGCAAGGCTTGGGGGATGTTAAAGCCACCAGAAAAGGATTTTTTTTCCCTACCAGAGAGAAGGACTGACCCAAGACCATGGGGGAAACTTTTGGTCTACAAGCCTCAATTTAGCAAGGTAATTAGACATGTGCCCTATTTAAGCATATGAGTAGTTCCATCAACTTCAGTAGGAACCTTGCTGAATCCAGATGCTAGTGAGTGAGTTAGGCTATAAAAAAGTGCTCTAAGTGGTTTGCAGTACTATTAGCTCTCTACAAGAACTACTGCAAATGAATGCAATTATTTTGACATGAAGGCTATTCTTTTGACTGCTTACTTTTTTTCAGACTAAACAGAAAGCTTGTGATGCTTTAAGTGGTTTAGCATAAAAGTATTAGATAAATATTTTTGAAAACAATATTTACTTTTTGAAATATAAATATTTCCTTTTTATTTAAAAAGGAAAAATATTGTATTAAATTTTGACCCAGTTTTCACGTACATTCCAAGTACTCCCCTTTAAGTTGTAATAATAAACACAATTCGGTTGGCTGCTTTAAAATAAAATTGTGAAATCACATTATTGCAGAACAATATGAATGAAAGAAAGAATAACTTTGTTT